CATGGGAGGGTGACAGAAATGTACAGGATAGATGGCTTTTGTTGATAGGCAGAGTACAATATTCTGTTATATGTGGGAGTGCTAGATGAATTAAAAAGGGAGAATGTTTGGAGATACAGATTATTGAGAAAAGTTGGGAAAAGGGAGGAAGCTAGCCCTCGGAGCTCAACGATATCTTTGTTTTTCTTTAAGTCTTTATTTTGTTCATGCATTTCGTGAGTTGGATAGATAGTAGATTTGCATTCGAAAAGTGTATCACTTTGTTTATGTCATTAATATACACATTTTCTTGAATCTTGTTTTTGGTTTATTGTTTGAGTTGTTTTGTTTGCTTGAGTGTGTGAGTTAAAGAGAAGGAGTCTATCAAGTGGTATCAGGGTAGTTGCCACTGGGGTATGGTTAGCACTACAATGGAGAACAGAGTTGATAATGTTAAGAAAGAAGTCACAGTGATTTAGAAAGACCTAACCAAGTTGATGGAAGCTGTTACCTCCATGAGAGAGATAGTTGAGATGCAAAACTAGATGTAGCAGAAAGACGAAGAAGAAGCTCATCGAAGAATAGAAGAAGAAGCTTGCCGGAGAATAATGGTGCTGGAAGAAGGTAACCACTCCGGAATAGGAAACCAACATAACGGAGGAACTAGCTTGGAAAACGAACCACCACTACTTGAGTATGGGGGTTATAACCATGGTAAAGAGGGAAAAGTGGAGAGATTGTGGGGGGGGGGGGGGGGGGGGGGGGGTGGTTTGTTGGGTACAAAAGCTTGAACTACCGATTTTTTTCGATGATGACTTTTACGGTTGGATTTTTTGAGTTGAACGATACTTTGCCATCAATCAAGTAACAGAGGAGAACAAAGTCTTTTTGACGACGCTGTGTATGGAGGGAGAGGCCTTTCACTAGTCTCAGTGGACAAAATCCAGAAATCCAATGATGGCTTGGCCGGCGTTTAAGGTGGTGCTCTTTCAAAGGTTTAGCAGTGCCCAGGAAGTCAACCCTTTGGAGTTGGTCATGTCAACAAAGCAATCAAGTACGGTGTTGAACTATTATCGTCATTTCGAAGAGGTAGCAGCGCTGACCATCGACCAGAGGGAGGATGTTCTCACCGCAACCTTCATGAACGGACTGAATCTAGAAATCAGGGTTGAAATTAAACTCCAAAGACCTAACCTACTGGACCAGCCCAACTCCTTAATCTAAGCTACCACCTTAGCCTAAAGATTTGGAAGAAAGGAATATTGTATTGGATGAAGCCTGCGTAGGTTTGGGCTGACAAGGGAGAGTGGGAGGAAATGTAACTAGGCCCCGAAATTTTACCAACCCCTTCAAGCCCGATGAATATTATAAGGTCCAACCTCACTTGACCCAAACCCACATGAACTAATCCCTTATGACCTAACCTAATATGAGCCAAACCCACCCAACAACTAATCAAAGAACTAAATCCACTCCATCGACGTTCAAACGTTTCTCCACCGAGAATGCGTCCAACTCAAGGTCAACGCTAGTCGAGAGTTTCAGATCTAACACTTTTCGATGGGATTTTCCCTTCAAAAAGCTTACTGAGGCAAAGATTCAGAGGAAGAGAGAGAAGGGTTTATGTGACAGCCTTATAGGTGTGATGGAAAATTCTCACTTGGGCATCGGTGTGGAGAGAAGCAATTCTACGTAATTTTGCTTGAGGAATGTGAGGCAGACCCAGCCTAACCAATGAAGAAGAAGGTGAGGAGATTGAAATTGAACAACCACAGAGTAATGTTGAGTTGTCCATCAATTCGGTGGTAGGAATACACTGGCCAAAACGATGAAGCTAAAAAGGAATGTTCAAGGTAGGGAGGTGATTGTTTTGATTGATAGTGGGACTTCCCACAATTTCATTCGTATAGAGGCAGTAGGGAGTTTAGGGATCCTAATTGTTGCAACTCCTTCTTTTAGAGTTAGAGTTGGAGATGGGTACTGGGTTACATGTAAAGGTAAGTGTAAAGAAGTTCCCTTGGAATTACAAGGTATGGTATTCGTCTAATATTTCTTTCCCTTTAAAATGGGAAAGTGCCGATGTGGTGCTTGTGATGGCATGGCTAGAGACCTTAGGGGAAACAGTGATTGATTGGAAGAAACAAACCATGAAGTTCAGGTTAAGAGAAAAAATTGTGAAGTTGTGAGAAGACCCATCCCTAAGTAAGACAATGGTGTCCTTGAAAGTAATGATTAAAACGGTACAGAGTGAACGTTAGGGTATTTTGGTGGAGTTTGGGGAGATTCAAAAGCAATTTGGAGGTGAGGAGAGAATGGATGAAACATTGGCTGAGGTGCTAGACCAGTTTAGGCAAGTGTTTGAACCCTTAACGAGACTGCCACTAGTTAGAACACAAGAGCATTCAATTCAATTAGTGGCAAGAACCTAGCCCCCAAATTTAAGACCATATAGATACCCGTATTACTAGAAAAATGAGATAAAACTCATAGTTAGGGAGATGCTAGCCTTGGGGACCATTAAGCTTAGTGTGAGTCTATTTTCAAGCCTGATATTGTTAGTAAAAAAGAAGGATGTGGAGTGGAGAATTTGTGTAGATTAGAGGGTAGTAAATCAAGTCACTGTACCCGATAAATTCCTTATTCCGACAATCTATGAGCTATTTGATGAGCTTGATGGGGCATCAGTGTTTTCTAAATTGGATTTAAAGTTAGGTTATCATCAGATACGAGTTCGGCCTTAGGACACCCATAAGACTGCATTTAGAACAAATGAGGGGCACTACAAGTTCTTAGTCATGCCCTTTGGGTTGACAAACGCGCCCTCCAATTTCCAAGCATTAATGAATTACGTTTTCAGGCCATATTTAAGAAAGTTTATACTCGTCTTTATTGACGACATTCTAGTCTATAGTAAAGGGATGATAGAGCACTCAAAGCACCAAAAACTCTCACTCTTCAAACTTGATTGGAACACTAGTTGGTTGTGAATAGAAACAAGTGTTTGTTCTGACAACAATAGTTGGAATATTTGGGGCATATAATCTTAGCTGAAGGGATATCTGTTAATCCATCAAAGGTAGATAACATCCTCAAGTGGCCAATTCCGAAGAATGTGAGAGCTCTCCGGGGGTTTCTCGGCTTAACTGGCTACTACTGGTGTTCTGTTCAAGGTCATGATAAGATTCCCTCGCCTTAAACCGCTTTACTAAAAAAGGATGCTTTTGAATGGAAGGAATTTACCCAAGTAGCTTTTGAAAAATTGAAGAAGGTAATGACCAATGTGCCAGTATTGGCCATGCCCGATTTTTCCTAAAAGTTTATGATTGAGACAGATGCCTCGGGTAGTGGATTAGGGGCAGTATTGATGGAGGAGGGCATACCACTCACTTTTCTGAGTAAAGGGTTATCAATGAAGTCACAATTGAAATCAGTTTATGAAAGAGAGCTCATGGCAGTAGTTCTAGCTATTCATGATTTTCTCCATTACCTTTTAGGACACTATTCTATCATCAAAATTGATTAACAGAGTCTGCATTTCTAAACTGATAAAAAATTACTAGGTGGGAGTCAACAGAAGTGGGTTATCAAGTTATTGGGGTTGGATTTCGAAATACAATATTTTTCGCGATTGGAGAATAAAGTCGCAGATGCTCTTTCACGGAAACAGGAGGAAGGGGAATATAATGCATTCTCCATTGGTTGTTTTGCAATTATGGGAGATTTAGAAGAAGCAATTCAACGAGATAATAAACTTTGTCATATTGTCCAGCAACTTCTAATTGATTCAAACAGCCAACCTTCTTTTCAACTTGTAGGGCATCATTTACTCTACCATAACTAGACTTGGCAAAACGGGTCCAGACCCACGGGTCCGCCCATACTTGGGTAAAAAATATGGGGTATGGGTTTAATATATTGGACCCGTTTTTTAAACCCGTACCCATATTATTGAGGGGTTATATGGGTGAACCCACGGGCACCCGCTGGTACCCGTTTTTGCAAATCCTTAACCCTAAGTCCCTAACTCTAAAACAAAATGTCAAAAATCAAAATAACAATTCTCTCCCACCCCTCAATCTCTCATCACTCATCAGTATACCTCACCTGATTCATTCATTCTCTAAACTCTCAATCTCTCATCCGTCATTCCCATTCCTAGTCCCATCGTCGCCCTCACTCATCCTCGTCAGTCGATCATCTCCTCTCTCTCACGTCGTCGAGACTCGGGCGTCATCTCGTCATCTCCTCTCTTTCTCCATCGCAAACTCGCGGCTCTCCTCCCTACCATTGCAGTCGCAGATCGGTGAGTTGGGTTTCAAGATTTGTTTTTATTGTATCCATCTTTGTTCCAAAAAAGCTGCAGCTTGTTTGATGCTTAATTGACCTTTGTGATCATGCTGTTGTTGGGTAGAATATGTTTCACAAGATTTGTATATTTTGGCTTATTACAATTCGTGAAATCTCTGTCACGAACTATAATTGTGTGTTGGTTCTGCTTTTTCAGCAGCTCATTTCTCTCACTCTGGTTCCTTTTATGGTGGGATAGGGATATGGAATTAACGTTAGTGGAGAATAGGATCCACTAGGATCTCTCGCCACCCAAAATGTTGAATTAAAAAAAGGTTGAATTCTGTCATTCTCATTTGTTTGAATTTGGGTTTGAGTGTACATAGATAGATGTCTTTACTGTAAGCTTTGGAGCTAAGTAGGGTCGATGAATAATAAGTTGTAATATTGATGAAAGAGCCTCATTTTGGTAGTATTCATCTTTAAAACTTTAATTTGAAGATTTAGAATCAGAGAAGGTTACCCCAGATGTGGATTGGAAAGATCATAGATGAGTCCAAATTAGTCATGACCCATTGTTAGTTGTCCTCATCTTCGCTATTTTAATTAGTCTTATTAGGGATATGTTGATATGTGACACCTGGGATATCTATCCAATATCTCTGCTCCAAGAAATCAAGACATTGAGTTAATGTAATTAAATAAAATCTTTTTCTTGAAGAATAAATTGAACTCTACCATTCAGTAATGGCTCTTCTATTTCTCTTTAAATTTAGAATATCCTGTAGTTCTTCAGGTTGGCAAGGCACTGCAAGAACACCCTTTTGCTCGAATCCAAATTCTTCTTGAGCTTGCTCCAATAATTTAATGAATTCCGGGTTGTTCAGGTAGCCCAACTCTAACGTGAACCTCTTTGGTTTCTCACCCTTTACTGCAACAACTGCAAAATGACCTTTCTTCACTGTTCCACCAGATCCTTTTTCTCCATTTTTTCCATTTTCATCCACTTGGTTGAGATTAGCTCGAGCTCTAGATGTTGAGAACAAACGGCGTCGTTGCAACTTGGTTATGAGCACCTTCAGCTTCATTAAGCCTTTAATTCTCTCTTCCCTTACATCCATTTTGAATATGGAGGTCAGAAAACTGTATCTATATGAATAAGAAATTATATTCTGTGAAACTTGATTCACTTTAATCTATTTATTACTGAAGAGGAAATGTGACTGATGGTGGTTGTGAAGTCACCTACCATTGAACTAAATAACTTATCTCACAGTTTGATAATTTTATTCTAGTTATGGTGTCTTTGATGTTTGTTTCTTTATTTTATTGTATTATCCTTTGAGTGTGTGTGAAAGACCTAATATATTAATATTATTGTAACATTACCCTATCAATCATATATATATATATAGTCTGAAGCATTGACATGACGGATTCTAAAACTATAGATATGGATATGGTTAACATGAGAGCAAGTGACGATGCTTCTAAGATAATGCCACCTCCTTCTAATTATAGTATTCCTACAACTAGTTCTAGAAATAAACATAAAACATCAGAAGTTTGGAATTATTTTGAGACATATGTTGATGAGAATAAGAATGAGAGGGTTAGGTGTAAGGCATGCAATAAATCTTATGCATATGGTAGTATCACACATGGGACTAAAAATTTGAAGCGTTATATGGGAAACTGTCCAAAACGTGCCAACTATGATGTAGGGCAATTATTGATTGATCATGATCATAGATTACAAAGTAGAAAGATTAGTCAAGAGACTTATCGTGAATATATGACCTTATCAATTATTCAACATAATTATCCATATTCATATGTGGAGAATCAAGGAACTAGGAGAGTCTTTTCGTATGTGTGTGAGGAGCTTATGCATTATTCTAGGAACACCGCTTAGGCGGATTGCTTAAAAATATATGAAAGGATGAAGAAAAAAACTAAGCTTGAATTAGGGAGGCTTACTAGTAGAATTTGCTTAACTTCTGATGTTTGGACTTCTGGTACAACTGAGGGACATATTTCTTTGACAGCTTATTATATAGATGAGGATTGGGAGTTACAAAGTAAAATATTGAACTTTTGCCATATTCCTCCTCCACACTCAAGGGTTGTTTTGGCAGATAATATTATGAATTTCTTGCAAGAGTAGGGAATTGAAAAGAAAATTTTCTCAATTACTTTGGATAATGCAAGTAGTAATGATAGGATGGAGGATATCTTTAGGAACCAGCTTTGTGTGCAGAATGCTTTGTTATGTAGAGGTGAATTTTTCCATGTGCGATGTTCTGCACATATCTTGAATCTTATTGTTCAAGAAGGGTTAAAAACTATTAATGTCGCTTTAAATAAGATTCGAGATAGTGTGAAATATATTAAAGCAATTGAGGCTAGAAGAATCAAGTTTGGAGAACTTGCTATACAAATAGGAGTGAAAAGGTCAATGGGGTTGAGTTTGGATGTTTCCACTAGATGAAATTCGACATTTTTAATGCTTGAAACGGCTTTAATATATCGTCCTGTGTTTGTGGCTTTATCAACAATAGATTTCAGTTATAAATTTTGTCTATTAGATGACGAATGGGATAGGGGGGCGAGGATATGCAAGTTCTTGGAACCATTTTATGATATTACGATTTTATTCTCGAGTTCTAAATATCCTACAGCAAACTTATACCTGAAAAGTGTGTGAGAAATTCAGTTGTGTTTAATTAAAGAGAGGATGAAGTTGTTAGGAGCATGGCGGAACAAATGATCCCAAAATTTATAAAATATTAGGATTCTTATAGTTTTGTGTTGACGATTGCAACTATTCTTGACCCACGTCTCAAGTTTCAGTTTGTGGAGTATGCTTTCAACAAAGTTTATGATTCAACTACTGCCACATGGAAGTTGGAGGTTGTTAAGAATAACTTGCAAAAGCTTTTTCAACCTTACGAGGCTCAGTGTTCTAAAGAAGTTCCTGCCTCACCTTCAGTTGTTTCTCCTGCGAGTGGTCTTACTCTTAGTAGGCATGTAGATCATTCTTCTGTAAGTCACTATACTTTTTAGTTTTTATATTCTTATGATAAATAAAGTATTGTTTATTGTTTAATTTTAACTTTTGACACTTAACTGTTTAAACGATGCAGGATTTTGACAACTATGAGAGTGTTTTCATTTCCACTAAGAAATCCGAATTAGATCTTTATTTGGAAGATATCAGGTCAAACTAGTCAACCCAAGACCTAGCCACTTTGCCGAGTTTCACCCCAGGTTGGGTTTTAAAACATACGGTGTATATATGCAATTGGGCTTCCTCCTCCTTTGAGTTAGCTTTTGCGCTTGAATTCTACCTAAATTCACTTTATCATCATCGTACAATCTCTTTTACTTACTTTTTACACTGACTGGTACCTATTTCTTTCATTTTCTTTTTACACAGGCTGGCACCTAAAAATACAGGCAACATGGTGATTTTTTAGCTCAAAAATTAAACATAAATGTACCTATCTTAAAGTGGGCAAAAACTGGTTAATTAGGTCCAATTCCACCAATCTGTTCCCAGAATTCATTAAAAATACAAACAACAAATTGATGTAAATCTTGAAAGGGACTAACAAGTTGTACATTTTATATTCATGTGTTATATTTTAACTCTAATTCTTTATAAACTCCATGTTATAAAATGGTAACCAGATGTGGATACTAGGGCTAGACGAGAATTCCACTTTCCAACTTAGATTTGTAAAGCAAGAGTTTTACTTTATTTATTATTGTTTTCTATTAAACAGATAGTAAGGTTAGACGAAAATTCCAATTTTAAACTCAGAGTTTAAACAACTTTCTTATAACTTAGCATCTGTGATTTAAGTGGGCAGTCGTGTTACGTTAGCCTTCCCTAAGGATTAGTCAAGGTGCGCATAAGCTGGCTCGGATACCTTGGTTGAAAAAAAAAAAAATTCTTATAACTTACCCACTCTTGGGTAGCCCAAGTGGTAGGATGTGTGGTTAAGGCACACAGTCTCATATTTGAATCTGCCTGCTCCTAAGATTTAAGCGGTACCTTGTTATATGTAAAGGGGTTTGAGTATAATAAGGTAGATACACCCAGGAACCAATGAGAGGGGAAAAAACTTTCTTATAACTAGTTATATGTAAAGAGGTTTGTGTATAATAACGTAGATAGCTGTACGCACCAAAGAGTGAGGAAAAAACTTATAAGAAACTTGTTCTATGGAAAAGGGTTTGGGTATAATAAGGTAGATACACCCTCCAACCAAAGAGAGGATAAGGGTTCTTTAATAGAGATTCCAATTTGTTTGATTTATTTTCTATTTATTCAACTTTTTGACCAACTTTTGGATGGTCAGGCAATCAACTGAGATTCTTGGGTATATTACTCAAGTGGTCTTAAGTTTGATTCCCCTCATTGTTAATAAGAATGACTACTAAAGTATTATACGGTCCGTTAACTTTAAGACCCTAAAAGATTAGTTAAGGTGCACATAAACTGGTCTGGACATCCCCAGTTACCCAAAAAAAAAAAAAAAAACTTTTTGACAATTATCAAGCAACTTCTACACTTTTTGGTTTAAAATATTAAGGGTGCGTTTAGTTTCATATTTCTACCCATATTCCCAATCCTATTCCCCAAATATTGTTTGGCACATTATTTGAGAAATATTACTATATTTTTTAATTACTTACAGACCCCTTAAGTTTATTAATTTCTTAAATACGCCCAGAAAAAAGTTTAAAAATTAACAAAAACACCCCCACTGACCCATACTTACCAGATTCTAGCAATCACCATGGGTGCTAGCCGGAATCTGTCACAACAGCCTACACCACGACCAGAACTGGCTGCTAATTCATCAATCTGGTTTTTTCTGGCTGGATCCACAGTGGATCTAGCCAAAAAAGGCCAGATCTGGTCGTAAGCAACGGCCAAAGATATGGACGTCGTTATCGGTCAACGATGGCCAATATTTAGTCGTAGCTGACGGCCAAAGATGGACTTTTGCGGCCATCGACGGCTACATCTAGCCGTAGATCTGACCTTTTTCGACCAGATCCGTGGTGGATCTGGTCGGAAAAGGCCATATCGATGTCATACCCGTTAGATCTGACCGGTATGTGTTGTTACACAATTTTTTGGTCAAATTCTGTCGGTGGTGGCCGGAATCTGGCATTGCGGGTGGTGGGAGTGTTTTTGTCATTTTACAAAACTTTTATATATAGGGGTGTTTAGTTAAATTAGCAAACCTAGGGATTTTTTTTTATAAATTTTACCTCGTAATACTCCTCTATTCAACTACCTAATATTATTTCCAAAATCCTATCCAAAATAATAAAACAAACGGAGATATTGTCTTATCATATATCTAAGATATTAATAATTATATTATATTCCTATATTTATATACTAATGGAAACAAAACATGAGGTACAGCTCAAGTAACTTGTTTAATTTTCTCCATAATTATTTTCATTATCCTTCACATGTTATGGGTTTTTTAATTACCCGAGTTTGACCCACAGAACCCCCATATTCCGGGTCAATTCCTAACCCAATTTATTTTAGTTATTTTAGGTACCAAATGGATCGACGAAATTAACCCAAAATTAATTATAAAAAGATTCCCAGAATCTCACCATAAACAATGAACAAAAATTAATGACATGTTGCAATAATTTAATTGACTTGACAACTAATCAACGTTGTAATTAATGTTAATTAATTTCTAATCACATGCCCGGTTTCGGGTTTAGCTCGTTATTCGGTTCATAATTTGGATATGGTTCACTATTATTTAAGAATATAATTAAATTTAAGAATATTTATAAAAAATTATTTGCTTAAAAGATTGTCGATGCAAAAAATTACACCAATCAGAAGTACGTGATTGATAATGTTAGAACCATTAAGACTAGTGCGTAATCCTGATGGATCAATGAATTAGCGATGATGAATGTGTAATAATAATCATTAAATAACAAAGAATAAGAAATATTTTTTGAGGTAGTTCGACTGCTTATAACGCAAAACATACTTCCGTTGTTATGTAACCGAGTGTACCAACGAGCTAAGTTACAAAGAGTTATTATAAGTACTAAAGAGTTA